CTTGCGACAAGCATGGGTTACTGAAGACCAATTTTAACCCGGATCTTCATGGGTCGGTGATATTAGAAACACACAGTTGAACCACAATATATAACCTTGAGAATGTATTACTGAGTGAATTCTGTCCCCAACATGAATACATGTCCATAGAAATACTGCTGTACGTAAAGTAAGGTCCTTTTAACCTTAAAAACTAATCTATTGTGTAATATTAGGTTAATTAAGGTCGATATGTAACCTTCAAAATTCATTTGTTGTATTTTTTATTTAACTACGGTCGTCAATTAACCTTCTATCTAAATATCGAAAACTTTGCAAAATAATTCGTTGTAACCGAAAACTGTAACATGAATATCTATATAGGAGGCTCCATGTAAAGCCACTGGGCAGTGTCTGGTCCCTGAACCACATTGACCAGTGGTCGAAAGTCGGTTTTTAGCCACTTGCTTATTATCAAGCTTGCTAAGGAGAGAACACAACACAGGGGCTTCACCACTGTACCAATGGGGTGATTCGAACCAGGGCCTTCTCTGTGACAAGTGAACGCTTTTACCATTAGACTAAGTCTAGAATAGTAACCCATATATCCTTGTGTTATGGGTTTTCGGGATCTTAAGACTATCCGTTGTTTTCTCGATTATCGATTGTAAAACATGTCTCTAACTAACTTAACCCATCATCATATAGCTAAATAATTTCGCGACATGTTTTCAACAAAAATATTAATCAATTAATTTCTGTTTTTCTGTTCTGGCCATGTTGTAGACCTCGTCAGTGTGATCAAGAATCTTTTTGGCACATCATACAGTCCTCATTCGGTGACCTTGAGCTTTATGGAAGACGAGGCCATTGAGGGAGCAGACGAAGTTGAAGGGGAGGGATACACACGAACCAAATACCAGCTCCAGTATTCCAGCAGCAACAACGCAACGAGCAACGACACCAGCACGTGGCAGAAGAGAACCTTTGATCCCCGGCGCGTGCACAGCGAGGATGAACCTGTGGCATCCCCAACACACCTGCTGCAGACGACGGGCGCCATTCGCGTTGGACAGCGTGTGTACGTGACGGTGTCGGGGATGGAGGCAAACACCACCTACTACCTCAAAGTCCTGGTCATTAATTCTGGTTTCCATGACGACAGCGTAGGAGTGACGTCACAGCCTCCCCAGTATGCAGGCGCTTTGGCTGTGCGGACGCTAGCAGAAGGTAACTTATCTCTGTTTGAAAAAACCCAAACCAAACATACAAAAACAAAAAAACACACAGAAACAATAGGAAACAAAAACAAAAGCATTTATACCTTAATATGATTACGTATTACGAAAACACATGTAGGCCCTGCTATGTTCAATATACCATGCGCGTTTGGGTAGCCTAGTGGTTAAAGCTTTAGGTCACGTGGAACACACAAGTTCGATTACCCACGTGGGCAATTTTTGTGAAGTTTGTGTAAATAGCTGAAATATTGCTGGAATATTTGATAAGGGCTGCGTGATAAGTGATGAAGTACCACTTGCAGGCATTCTAACGTTTTTGATTCTCGACAGATGCATCTTCATCCTGCCCCACAACATGCCAGAGTGAGGAGGTTCTCATGGTACCGTCCAAGTCCTGTCCGAAACCCGTGCTGACGCGGTCACGTGACGACTGCTGCCCCACCTGGCGCTGCTACCCTGAAGGTAGAGAGGGTGCCAAACCTATATGGCATACCAGATGCCGATCCATAGTAAGTGGCATACCGGATGCCGTTGTGCAGTACACTGGATGCCGTATCTGCTTGGGTCACTGATCTCAATATTTCAATGTTGCCCTAATCGCCTTTTTTCTTACAAATAAATCAATAATAGTTTATCATGATGCAGTGGACAGGAAATCTATATGAAAATCACAGTGTAATTTACTTGTACAGGCATCGAAAGTGATACGACTCATATCTTAAGTGGCGTCCAAGACAAAGTAAATGGTGCTCTGGCAGAGGTACATATAAGCTGCGTATGTGCGAACATTATGCAAATATTTATGCGAAAACTCAATTCCTATTAAGTCTATTGCGTATAAGTACGCTTGAAGTTTTGTAAATATCCAATAAATTTGATCTTACATGCGTACGAACAAAAAAAATGTCAAATCTTAGCTGGCATACTTATTTCCTGTCACCAAACCGACCAGGATTTGGAGTAAGCAGACTCACGTGCTACAGATGGAGGTTACTGAGGGTAGATAAAATAGCTGAGATATATTGAGAGGTTCTATTTCAGTACATGAACTTGGCAACTTGCAGTCTTTTTATCGTTTCTCATATAACAGATCAAATATAAATAACAAACACGTAAACCGCCGTTTAAACTTTTAATCATATAATTAATGGAACATGGCTAATACTCAATTGAGTTTAAGTGTTTTGGCACAATTTATTTGGTTAATAAAAGGAAAATTAGGATACCCAGTTGAGATAAAGACAAGCGAGTACATAGCTCAATGACCCCAAAAGTTATCTGTAGCTCTGATAAAGAGATTGGGGTGGGTGGCACCTCATGTAACCCTTCGGACAAGTTGCCCTAAAACACTAAAAAGACCGCCTCCGTGGTGTAGTGGTTAGAGCGTCCACCCGGAGAGCGGAAGGTCGTGGGTTCCATCCCCGACCGCGTCATACCAAAAGATGTTAAAATATGGTACTTGTTGGTCCCTGCCTGGCGCTCGGCATTAATGGGTACAACAAGGACTGGTCAGCTCGGAGTCAGTATAATGTGTCTGAGTGGGGTATTCATGCTTCACTGCGGCATGGTATCTCAGTGAGCTAGCACTATAAAACCAGCTTAACTCTGGGCTAGTACAAGCAGCCGCACATACACATACACACGCATGCACGTCGTCATATGAGCGAAATATTCTCAAGCACGACGTTAAACCCAATTTCACCTCACCTCACCTAAAACACTAAAAAGTCTGTATGTAACTTGGTAATGGTGGCGTGGTGACCAAAAATTACTTCACCGTAATTCAAACCATCGTTGGAATTGTAATGAAAGATGTGCATAGGCATTCTATGTCATTACGTTCGTTTGAACACCTTACAAAAAGGACTAAATATAAAAACACGGGCTCAGAAACTAGCGGGGAACATTTTATCTTTACAGAGGGCGGATGTCATTACAAGAACCTCATCCTTAGCAATGGCGAGCAGATCAGGGAGAACTGTGAACGGAAGTGCCTTTGTGAGGAAGGGAACGTAACGTGCACCCCGCTTTGTGAAGAGACCGGAAGTACTCCCCGACCCGGATGTAGACTTGAGCGCCTGGCCGACCATTGTTGTCAAGTATGGATGTGCTCACCGAGTAAGTATTCCTACTTGCACTAACAAAATCGGTAATAGGTAGCCCAGCGGTTAGCGTCCGCTGGTAACAGACTACCTTGGTTTGATTCCGGTGATGGTTGTATGTTCTATGCTTGCTGTCCCCAGCATAATAATGCTTAAAAGTCCAGTCAGTGTTTGTTAGGTTAGTCAGGGAAACTGACTTTTAGGCAGATGTCTCGCAGGAGGATTCGGTTCGAATCTTCAAAAGCATACCACCGATATGCGTTGTTGGAGAAATTAATATTGACACACTCTTCTGATAATATCTCCGCCGTAATATTAATATATGTATGTGTGCGTGTGCGTGTGTGCGAGCGAATGCGTGGTTGAATTAAATTTTTTGAATCTCCGTGGAATGATTTCACATTGAAAATTGTTCATCCGAGTCATCCACGAGGATATCCTTGATGATACTGATGATGCTATCATCTCTGTGTATTGCAATATTAATTATAACAGTGCTAGAGTCTAAGTCCGAATGTTTCAGGAACTGAGGTCGTGGAGACAATGTCCGTGACCATTACTGTGGACTATCGTGGTCACTGTGATGGTCAACCTGACACCTTCCAGTCACAGTTCAAACAGGCAGTGCTCAAACTCATCCACTCTCAGCCGGTCTGTGATTCCGGGAAGGAGTGCCGAAGTCTGAATGCGAGGATGTGAAGGTCAGCCTGACCTGTCCAGCGTCAAATACTGTCGACAGAAGGCGCCGGGATGTGGACAACATCAGGGTGGACATCCTCATCACATTAAATACAAGGTAAATATCAACAGAATTATTGTAGTGAGTTTGGTTTAACACCGTTATAACGCGGCATATCAGCGTAATGTAGGGGAAACCCAAGGTCAAGGTGAAACCAACGAACACCGTATGCTGAAATAAACCTCGATAACATTATCTGGGCAAATCTGGATTATCATCATACGTTTCTCATGTGCCCAAAGGGACGCAACTGTGGGTGGCAAATTACTCTGGGAAAGCCCACTTGGCCAGTCATGCCCCTTGTATTACTGTACCAGTGCTAAATCACCATGACAACTGTACCTGTTGATCTACACGATCACTGCAGTTGAGAACTAAACACAGAGGGGCTAGCATGGGTTTAGTTGTGATTTAAATTTTCAATATTGCTCCTTGCCTGTGGGGAAAAACAACAATCTATCATTACCCGTAGCAGTAACTAACTATTCTTTACATTCTAAGCTTTCATCAATGTGTTTTATCGTGTGCATTTGTGACATGATTCCTTAATGGTTTCTTCCTATTTCGTTAATAAACTCTCAACGTATATAACAAGTTTGTTATGCCGTCGGAAGATTTCAGTGTCAAAAACGTCATGGCACTTAAGAATTAGGATTATTTATAATCAGTCAAATAATTTATAAATTGAATACCTTATTTTTAGTTATTATAACAGTTAGTTCACTGATGTATACGAAGCCCATATTTAAAGAGATGATAGTGTCTGACCAATGCTACCAGTCTGTTACTGACCTCAACACGATGTACAGTTCCAGTTCTGTGGAGAACACAAGACAGGACTTGTTACGGCTGACAGCGTCTTTCGTTGGCGTCTTCAATTCCACCGACTCCACTGTGACAGTTGCCGAGACGGTCTTCACGACAGGGGGCGCTGTGACAGTGACGCCACCTACCGGCAACTGTGGCCTTGGCTTCATTTTTGAAGATGATGTCTGTGGTAGGTTTTCAACAGGTCGTTGTCGAAAAGTGATTTATTTATTACTTTGAGAAATAATTCATATGGGTTGTTATTCCGCAAAATATTGTTTTTCCTTTACTCAGTGGGCAATAACAGTTGAGCTTGCATTGCGGCAGCACGTGAATAAGAGACTTGAGTATATACAAAGCAAGCGTGTAGTAATTAACGCATTTGCACCAGGGATCATGGATATTTTAAGGATATTCTTCTTCACTTTGAAAAATCCTCTCCTCCTCCAAATAGTGATGACCCCTAACCTCTTTTGTTCCTTAAAATCATCTGTATATACAACCCCCGTGGGGATGGGTATCGGTTGGCCACAATGACTGCCATGCATATGTTCCATGCGGTCAAAATGGGATGACTTGTTTATGGGACAACTGTTTATCACTGTGAACTCAGCATCTCTTGCAGAGTTACCTCCCATGGTATACACGCCATACTTACTGGCATCTTTTCGAAATATGTCCCCCAAACGTTTCGCCTTAAAGCAGCAATATAAACAAAATTGACTCACTTATTCAGTTTATTATTCATGTACAAGAAGCTGATCAGCCATTACCAGTTCCGCACCAAATGAAAGTATTTGCGATGCATTAAGCAGCACTGAATATTGAAAAGCATGGCCAGCTTTAATAACTGGATGGGTGTACATCTCAAAAACATAAAACTTTGAAAACTTACACTAAATCATACAGTTGTCAGTCTGCACTGAATGATCTCTTCTATTACTGCTTGTTAAAGGGCAGATTAAGTTAAATAATGGTAATATTGGACAGATTATGATTTGAAGTAGCAGAACCTAAAAGTATCAGTTCCTTGTTTCAGTGGAAGGGGTAACATCGTCAACACCTCCTACCACTCTGGATGTCCCTCTCAACGTATCGGCGTCGTCCAACTCGGCAGTCTTGGCGTGGAAGAGCCTAAGGACGCCCAGGACGCCGTATGTGACTGGACTGCAGATAGAATACAGGGAAGAGGAGGTAGAGGATATGATACTCTGGAACCAGACTGACCCTCTGGACCCAAGCGTCACCAGCCACGAGCTGACCAGGCTACAAGCGGCCCGGGGCTACAGGGCCAGACTGGTCATCTTAACCAATATTGTGGACAACAATCGTGTACGACTGACTCCGATCAGATTTGAAACAAAGCCGTTTAAGAGTACGTAAACACCCACACTTCCAACATTAAAGTATTTTATATTCTTGTTCTCTTGGTTTCACAGTTGATATTGAACTGAGTGGTACTCTAGAACCATGGGGGCGGTGGGGTAGCCTTGCGGTTAAGGCGTTCGGTCGTCACGCCGAAGACCCGGGTTCGATTCCCACATGAGTACAATATGTGAAGCCCATTTCTGGTGTCCCCGCTGTGATGTTGCTGGAATATTGCTAAACGCGGCGTAAAACTAAACTCACTCACTCTTGAACCATGTTATATGAAAGTCTAAAGTTGGGTCCCGATCCAAAAAACGTTCGTAGCGCAACGACATTCGTAAGACTATGGTAAATTGTAGAGTTACGACACGTAATGTTACGAATGCTTGTTGATCGGAACCCAGGACTTCACTGCAAGGAAATGTAATGCGACTTTTTAATTAGTTCTGGGTTATCGTATCTGTGTAAGCATCTCTTAACTTAGTGAAATATATTACATTTATTTAATAACATTGTAACATTTAATACAGGCATCACTGTGAGAATTAACCTCCAATTGCAAGAAGTTGGCGTTGGTGTCACTACCGTCGTCATCAGATGGGTAAAGTTGGCGGATTCCATTTTGGAGAACCTCGTTGCTATGGAGGTGCGGTACATGCGCAGCGGTGCAGCTGCACTGGCCAACCCAGGTTCGGGGCCAGGAGTACAGGTGGTGCGTCTTAACCCCTCAAAGACTTCCGTCACTATTTCGGAGTTGTCGCAGTCCACGGCCTACATGGCGCAGATCATTCTCTTCTTCAGCAACAACACTCTGGCGGAAACGGCGTCCATACACTTCGTCACTATGGCCGCAGGTAGTCTGTTGTTTGCCCTGGAAATTATTTCAAATGTAAATTATTGCCACCTTTAACCACCGGTTTACTTTGCTCAAATATCTGTCAAGATCCGGTAGGAATTAGTCTTCAGCAACCCTTGTTTGTCATGAGAAGTGGCTAACGGGATCGGGTGGTTAGGCTCGCTGACTTGGTTGACACGTTTCATCGTATCCCAATTGCGTAGGTCAATGCTCATGCTGTTGTTCACTGGATTATTCACAGACTGCCGCTCCATAGCTGGAATATTTCTGAGAGCGGCGTTAAACTACAAACAAACAAACTGTACTAAAAAGACATGACATGCATAGATAGAGATCGCTCCCCAAGAATTTCACTATTAGCATTGTGGTTTATTCTGTTTTAGTTAAGTCGGAGAACTTGCTCGTGCCTTTGGTGGTATCTGCAGTGGTTGTCGTCTGTGCTGTCGCCATCGTGATGATCACGTGTTGCCTCTGGAGACGGAACAGACAACGAGAGGCGCGGGAAACGGCATTTGAGAACAAAACGTTTGGCGTAGGTTGTCTTTGATTTCCTAAAACTCCACTTGACAGGATTGACTAGTAATTGTTTAGGAATCCACCGAATAACCATTACAACACTTGATATTGATCACCTGGTTGAACGAGTGTGTGTAATAACACAATTAAGCATGTGCATATTTTGCTATTCTAAATGCTCAATGGTCAACTGTTCATGATGTCACATAGAATGTCACAGTGCTTCTTTGTTGAAAAGAATCACAAACTGGATAATTCCAGTTATATATTCCTCTAAATATATTTTAAAAGGTGTCTACTTGATTCCCTCAATTTCTATTGATGTTCCCTAGCAATCCTCTCCAAGCCTTCACAATGTTAAGAATGGTTCTGAAACACTGTGGGTGTTCTCTCTTCACGCTGAGTACGTCATTTAACAACAAACAAGCATACGTTTGTGTTTCTTCTATTTCCAGCTTCACATTGAGACAGATGGACGAACGCTAAGTGCAAGACCTTAATCGTTGTGTCGTGTTTCTTCATCCTATGTGATGTCCTCAGGAACATGGACCATGTACAGTTCCACGGATCACTATTGCAGTGGAATTAAGAGTCTTTTTGGAGAGTAAACCTAATCAAACTACCGTCCACAAACTGTATCTAAATCCGGAATTGTTCCAGGTTGAGAGGGTGTTCATTGACAAGTGTAGCTATGACAATGTGGTAAGAGGTGGCAGTGTCCTGTGATCTACTGGCAACAGTTGTGTTCCTTCAAATGAAGACTGACGTGACAGCGATAAGACAAAGTGTTTCTACTATTGCTCGTGAGTTTTGTGATTACTATACCTCAAGTGCCATCGAATACCTTAGCCCTACTGACTCCCACACAAGCCACCTTCGAGAGATAGTATTGAACGGGGCTACTGTTTTACCGAAGTGGGAGGTATCATTATAGAGCTTCGAATGTAGACCTGTGACGAGATACGGTGTTACCACAGAACCATGTTATGACTTTCAGATTCTACTGGAAAACGACATCTGACTTTATATCAGAGTTTGAGACTCTAACACCTGTGATTTATCACCCCAATATAACGCCAGGCTATGCTTGCTCCCGAAGTATTCATCATATTGAATTAATTATAAAACATTTATTTTTAAATATGTCTTGTTTTCCCTCACAATTCAGGGATTAAGAAAAAGATATTATTATTTGTTAGATCAAATACTAATATACTTTCACGTAGGCAGGTTGTTATCTGGGATAAGAGTTCACAGATGACAGATTCCACTCTCACCAACGTCAAGACAGTTCCAGAGCAGCCAAGAAGCTATATGTGTTAGCGATCACAGAAATGGTACCCGCCAATGACCGGAAGTGGTACACCATTACCTCCCTTATCGAATCCCCACTGGGATCTGATGAATTGAGAATCCGCAGCTCGATCAACGTTGATTTAGCGACACCTTTTCACAATATTTCAACATTGAAATGCGTGTAGCAAAGCAAAGTAGACTTGTGTACGGCTCTGTATGTTTGTGGGAGATTTCAGGGTGTTTAGCACTACCGGTTTACAAGATTGGTTTTCAGTCGGATACGGATCATACAGAATGACTTGCCAAGAAGAGTGGGCGGGAAACGTCTCCAATCTTCCTTGGGTTCCAAAAATGCAATGCGTGCATGTACCACGTCCACGGCGCTCAACGCACATGATTTCATATGATGTTGTCGAAAGACAAATAGTCATTTCTTGTTCGTCGATCAAAATGCAAAAGAAAATTTTTGATACGCTCGCAACAAATTCAGTATTTACGTGTTGTCAGAATCTGTGTTTAATGGGCTCAATGCATGTTCCATATTAAGCTCAAGAAAACTAATCCTCACAGGGTTTTTTAATCAGTAAAGAGGAATCAGTTCTTAGAAAAAATAATTTCACCCAGCTGACGGCATGAGCTGATAACTTTGGTCGGAATGGCAATATGGTTAATTGATTACTTATTAATAAGCATCAGACAGAAAGTTACCTACCACACGGAGTTCAAAAGTGTCGCTCACAGACACTTAAACAAACGTGTCCGAAAACCCACAAGCAAATCTCAATAAGCAAGTCTACATTGGTTCAGTCTCAGGTCTGAAAATGAAGAGATTCTCTGGAATCCTTTGTGTATTACAATAAAGACAAGTGTACAAAGAAATCTTGATATGTTTATTTTAGAAAGTGTTAGTTAGTGTGGGTTGACACCGGTGTGTTCATGTCAGAGACTTGTGTCACTGTGGTTCAGTGTTATGTAATGCATGTTATTAGAAATGTTCTATATGTTTGCTGTATTTGTTTGAATGACTTCATTACGTGTCTGAATGTGCCATAAATCTTTACAATTTGCATAATAAACTTTATTTTCTACCGTTGGAATTGTTGTTAATTGATGAGCATGTGTGGGCGTAAGTCTTTCGTACATACCCTGAAACAAATATATCCTAGAAAGCTCATGCAAGTCTAGAATACGTGGCAAGTCTAGATAACCGCAGTTTCAGCAAATGAAGAAAGTCTCTGTTCTTTTCGTTTTGACCGTGAAGATCCGGTTTAGAATTGGTCTTCAGTAACCCATGCTTGTCGTAAGAGGCAACTAACGGGAACGGGCGGTCACGTTCACTGATACATGTCATCGCGTCCCAATTACGTAGATATATGCTCATGTTGTTGATCACTGGATTGCCTGGTCCAGACTCAGTTATTTACAGACCGCCGACGTTTAACAATCAACCAACCTTTTCCCTATATTTTATGATAATTATTTATTAACCGTTTTTTCTGTAAAATATGTTCATTTCAGAGACTAAATGTTAGTCTGTGCGGCCTTAAGTGACATGATTCGACAGATTCGGTGATATGTTTGATGGATACTTATTCCTACCATTAAAAACTGCACTCTTGTGCTGCTGCGTGTGTCCTCCATCTGTACAATTAGCGGGACTAGTACCATTCGTCACACCCTTCACTACCGCTAACCACAGATCCGAGGTCAGAGGGTATCTCTTATAACGTATGACGTCAGAACCACATTTCGTCCAAACAGTCATAACGTCGATTACCACATTTGAACAGTGACAGTCGGAATGTGTTTTCTGATCATGTAACCTCTCGAAGTCTCAAGATGTTATTCCGTATTCCGAACAACAGTTACGGATTGTATGATTGCAACCGTCATAGTCTTCGTCTATCGAATAAGAGTTCAAAAGGGAGATAATTGATTAATTTCATAGCCCTTGTACAGCTATACAGGTCATCTGTTTGACATTCCAGGATATTCATTTGTGTGTAGTTTTCAATTTTTAAATATTTTTTCAAGGCACAGACTGGGATGGTTTTCGCCGGTGTCCTAAAGCTTTTGACTGACTAATGAACATTAGTCACCACTCTCCCCTTTCCATAACCTCCAAGAATGTATTCGGTTTGTCCCGGAGTAACACGAGTTGGTCACGAATGAGTACATTCGTAACTACTCGCCTCTTTCCGTGACCTACAAGAAGACTCTGTACCTGTATAGTACGCCATTATTGCCAAGAATCGCCAAGAAAATGTGAAAGAGGTCAAATAGTTTTATTGCTATTACTGATTTTCATTATTATTTCCGTGATTATAAAATTATCCTTATTACTGATATTTGTTAACCACATAAGAAACTTACTTAAAGTGACTTTCGTGTTGTATTTGAAATTGATTGACGTTTTCTTCTAGTAGCCATGTTTGGAAATTATCTTTGGGAGTTATCTCTTGGAAATAGTCCTAGACTATTTTCATCTTCATGCCTGTTTGCGTTTACACAAGGCCCAGTCGTGGACATGGTCACAAGAGGGGTACGAGTCGCCATCCGGCTTGCCGGATTGACACGAGTAGTTACGAATGGAAGGAGCAATGAAATGCCTATCAAGAAGTAGACCGTTACCGTCAATCAATCAGAAAGCAGCTTTCTCGAGCCTTTAGGGAACTGGCGACTTTCATGTTTTATCATTATTGACAATTTGCAGTACAACAGGTATTGGTTATCTTTTCTACAATCATATCGTGATCGCAATCAGTTCACACGTCTGCCCGTAGATAGAAAGGGTGGAACTGCTGCCATTCGTAACTTGTCCTTGGTACTGGGCTGCCTTGTCAGCTGCGACCTCCACTCAGGGGATGGTTATGTATGTGCCTGCGTGTTGTGATGACGTCATTGTTGGTGTTGAGGGCAGCTGGACATGAAGAAACACGGACTCGCCAGTGGATACTGATCTCACTCTCTCTTTTCATATGGAAGCGTCTTCGTGCCTAAGTAAAAATATCATCTACGTAGATAATTAGACTTATCGTAGATGTGTTCATCTTTCACTACGTAGATGGTGCACAAAATTTGGATTGTAGCATAATACGCTTCCCTATCGATCGTAATGTTACGATCCGTGTACAGTACTAACTGCCTTGTGGAACGAGGCCCTGGTATGCACGGTTTGGGCCACCACGATACGTGTTGGTTGCAGACTGTAGTTTCCGCCACAGGCCCTCGTCTCTTTGCAAAGATTAAAGATTTAAAAAAATATATTTTGAGATGACCCACGACTCAAAAAACTACACAGTACAATACATTATGACAAGGCCGGACACTTCGGTGTACCCCACCCGCCTGCTTTGCCGATCGCTACGCTACCATCGCATGCAATCATTTAAAACTTAATGTAAACATAATCATGGGTGATTGGCCTATCGATCACCACTAATGACACCTTCCAATTCTTTATTGCTATTTCTGCAAGTCGATTGAAACCCGATTTTGATTCTCAACAAAACGATCTTGACACAAATGGATGGCGATATGTCCGCACAACACGGGGGTGTGGTCGAAGCAAGCCCCCTGAGTGGTCAACGCTTGCAAAATCTGCAATTCTTTATATATTCGCTTGATTTGTTCCTTTCATCGACTGCTTAATGTAAGAATATATTTCGAGCAATGGCTTCTCAAAACAAAGCATCAGTTGTAAATATCTCCTGAACAAGGATCAATCAATCAGAGGACTTGCTTTGACCACAACCCCGTTTTGTGCGGACAATTGTGTGGCGGTAGCAACCACTAAATAATCGGATTGTTTCATCCCCAAAAGACTATTGGTGTTGGATGACGTCCCCCACTGACAAACGTCGTGGAACGGAGCCAAGGTCTGTACGGCGATTTATGGTTTCCCGAGGAGAGAGAACTGAGTCGAGTCCTTTATCACAAACAATTAGTTCAGTACATATATAAGGCAATCGTTTCAACATGGATCACAAATAATCACACGTCACCATATGGACGTAACAGACAAGCAGGTCAGCTTATAATTAAGTCAATCAGTTCGTCATATATCTCAGTCAATCAGTTCGGCACAGTAATTATCAAATATGAGGTTGGAAATCTGAGAGCACATCCCTGTGAGGAACTGCAGGGGGGTTTTAACATCAAGATAAATATCCTTAGATATCAAAGCATAAAATCAACCATTATAATGTGTATGAAGAAATATCATATTGTACACTTAAACCCCTTACCTACTTCTCCAATAATGCCTTTCATTATATCAAAACTTATCAACAACGGCAAGGATACTAGATAATTTTATCTGTCTCTTCTAGAATCAACCTACGACTGACTGACTGAGTTTAGTTTTACGCCGCTTTTAGCAATATTCCAGCAATATCACGGCGGGGGACACCAGAAATGGGCTTAACACATTGTGCCCATGTGGGGAATCGAACCCGGGTATTCGGCGTGACGAGCCAACGCTTTAACCACTAGGCTACCCCACCGCCCCCTC